TATCCTATATTGAGGTAAATTATATGGCCTTCCAAATACCGTTTCGATTCCTAACATCACTGAAGAGACATTAATTGTCGAAATCCGGATATGGTGTACAAATTTTTGCACCTCATGTTTGCGGTATACCATCTTTTATGCAAGTTTATTGTTTTCTGTTTGGTATTAAATTAATAATAAAAATCCATTTTGTTACATCTTGTGATCCGTTTATTTGGCAATCGCCAATGGCAGTCAGCAGGGTTTAAGAACATCGGTTGTTCGACCTGTTAGTCAAATGCGTTTTGTTTAAATATACTTTTTACTTTTTGGTCTTGGAAAATGTTGTTTGTGCTGTATTTAGATCCCTCTACCAAGAAATTTGTTTTGCATGTACACGTATAAAAATTGCGGTTTTTAACCAACACAATCATAGGTTTGAACGTTGTTTTCAATTTAGACTTATTTATATTTTTTCGTTTAAGCTTGTATTATATTTGCCTTCGGGTTTATATGATCTGTTCATCCTTTTTCGACTCTTCAAAATCCAAGAGTCCATCCTAAATTGAGGTAAATTATATGGCCTTCCAAATACCGTTTCGATTCCTAACATCACTGAAGAGACATTAATTGTCGAAATCCGGAAATGGTGTACAAATTTTTGCACCTCATGTTTGCGGTATACCATCTTTTCCGCAAGTTTTCTGTTTGGTATTAAATTAATAATAAAGATCCATTTTGTTACATCGTGTGATCCGTTTATTTGGCAATCGCCAATGGCAGTCAGCAGGGTTTAAAAACATCCGTTGTTCGACCTGTTAGTCAAATGCGTTTTGTTTAAATATATTTTTTACTTTTTTGGTCTTGGAAAATATTGTTTGTGCTGTATTTAGATCCCTCTACCAAGAAATTTGTTTTGCATGCACACGTATAAAAATTGCGGTTTTTATCCAACACAATCATAGGTTTGAACGTTGTTTTTAATTTAGACTTGTTTATATTTTTTCGTTTGAGCTTGTATTATATTTGCCTTCGGGTTTATATGATCTGTTCATCCTTTTTCGACTCTTCAAAATTCAAGAGTCCATCCTAATTGAGGTAAATTATATGGCCTTCCAAATACCGTTTCGATTCCTAACAACACTGAAGAGACATTAATTGTCGAAATCCGGATATGGTGTACAAATTTTTGTACCTCATGTTTGCGGTATACCATCTTTTCCGCAAGTTTATTGTTTTCTGTTTGGTATTAAATTAATAATAAAGATCCATTTTGTTACATTGTGTGATCCGTTTATTTGGCAATCGCCAATGGCAGTCAGCAGGGTTTAATAACATCCGTTGTTCGACCTGTTAGTCAAATGCGTTTTGTTTAAATATACTTTTTACTTTTTTGGTCTTGGAAAATATTGTTTGTGCTGTATTTAGATCCCTCTACCAAGAAATTTGTTTTGCATGCACACGTATAAAAATTGCGGTTTTTATCCAACGCAATCATAGGTTTGAACGCTGTTTTCAATTTAGACTTATATATATATATATAAATATTTTTCAGAGATAAAGAAGTACATATAGCTGTGAAATAGATATAAACATAAGATATTAGTAGTTTACAATCTGTAATAAATAACAAACTTGAAACAGTTTAGATCCATAAAGAAATGTCAATTGTAGCTATATGTCAAGAACAAATTTAACAATTAGAGATACAACCTATTTCGGTGTGTATATCGGGGACGGACGGACGCCAAAGAAAGATGATTTATACAATACAGCTTTTGACAAGTAATCAAATTTGCGATAAATGCATTTTGACAATCTTTATTTCACTTATAATATTTGTACTCTATGAGATTATTTTACGCCTTGGAAGTTATAGTCGATAAGATATGTTTATAGCACTCGAGCTATTAATAGCCTAATCATGGCTTGACCTGGTAGATCTTATGAACCTGTCAGTGACATTTACCTACTCATGTCCTACAAAATCCAAAGAATTTGACACCTTCTTTACCTGAATTTATCTTTATTTATCTGGATAATTTCATTTATGAGTTTGATTTTATGTCCGTAATGTTTTCCTTTTATTGAAGCACATATCTTTTTTTGTTGGTTTTTGTTCAATTATGTTATTTCGTCCAATCAGAGTAAAGATTTGTGACATCATGCATGCCGTTGCCATAGTGAAGCGTTCTTTTTAAGACATAAGACATAAGACATAAAGCTTTATTTAGAGTCGGTATAAGAAATACAATTACAAACATAAGCTCTGAAGAGCTTTTAAAACCGACAAAAACACAACAAACAAAACATACATATCAAGTTAGGCACACATACAATTAAACAAACAAAACATACATATCAAGTTAGGCACGCATACAATTAAACAAACAAAACATACATATCAAGTTAGGCACGCATACAATTAAACAAACAAAACATACATATCAAGTTAGGCACGCATACAATTAAACAAACAAAACATACATATCAAGTTAGGCACGCATACAATTAAACAAACAAAACATACATATCAAGTTAGGCACACATACAATTAAACATAGAAAGCAAGAGTTCATATTAATATGTAAACATGCAACACAAAAGTTCTATAAAGCAGCATCAACACACACACTGAAGCATGCACTTATGAGGTAAAAACACAAAAGCAAAAGTAAAATGGTTTGCAACATAAAAAGCACATAGAGATTAGTTAAGTAACTTAAATAAGCACAAAATAGCAGAAGAGCTATAGTAAACAAAACAAAATAATTTTGCCATGTTGAAAACAAAGCATTAAACTAAAAACAATGAACAGAATTAACTGGTTTTGCAAGCGAAACATTGGCATGAGCTGCCACACCAAGAATTTATCAAGGTCTTGAATTGATTTAAAGATGATTGCTTATGTAGCTCATCTGGCAGCTCATTCCAAAGCATAGCAACCGCATACCTTAAAGATTGTAGACCATATGCAGTTGTTCTCACATGTGGTATGTCTGATGTATTCTGGTATCTAAAAGAGTAAGGGTTTTCTTTTAAGTGGATTAAATCATGGAGATAAACAGGACATTCTTTATTAATAATTTTGAAAACTTCAATAGCCAATGATCTCATTCTTCTAATTTTTAAAGATGGTAATTTTGATTTGCAGAGTAGATCTTCATAACTTGCTGAATAGTCTTCATAAATAAATCTTAGTGCTCTCTCTTGAATTTTCTCAATCTTTTTTGTATTTACCTCCCCACAAAAGTGCCAAACTAGTGGGCAGTAATTAATTGTTGGACATTATGAAAGAATAATAAATTGTTAATTTTCCAAGTTTAGTCAGGTGTTTTCCAATTCTTTTTAATACATTTAGCTGTTTGGATGCTTTTTTACACATTATAGAGACATGTTCATTGAAATTTAGTTTAAAATCTATTGTTACACCTTAAAGTTTTACCTAAATGGGTCACAAACCGAAAGTAATACTGACTGCGTCGGAAAAACACAATATAATCAGCTACGAGATGACAAGTTTTTTAGAAAAGCTATTACTTGTTATACCTTACCTGTTATCAATAATACATGACTTATCTACGATTGTCCATCTGTACACAGTGCATCTGTAACGACCGTCGCCGACATTTTCATATTTACTTTTTGGAGGTGGAAACTCGGTATGTATGCTGATTATATTAAGTGATAATTTGCAAATTGTTCTTGAAGATAAAGAAGTTGGAAATTAATTTCAGATCGGGTTGATTATTTTTAGATTTTAAAAGGTTTTTGAATTACCATATGGCAAAATTTGGGGTAATTTGCTAATTTGCATAGTGGCCATTTTGCCTTCTCATGACGGCAGCCATTACAATAGGATTATATAAGCCCTTTTAATAAAAATGCCAATATGCAAATACCTATGTCGAATGAACAATTTGTTCGCATATAGGTGAATTGTACATGTTTTAAGGCTTCTGTCCGTGTACAAATGGACATTGTCTACTCTGAAATCTTTCGGCCTTTTTAGTTTAAAAATCGGAAGCGTAACCATTGTGTAATTGCTATATAAGATCAAATAAAATCGTAAAATAGCAAGATTCAAAACAGAAATACACATGCAAGAAGATATATTCATGATTTGTTCGCATATAGGGAAACACCTTGTAGGTTGAATTTTATAGTTAAATAACTTTTAACTTACCTGCTTTCTTAAGTTTTCGGCCAAATATTTTTAAAAACATGATGATTTCAACCTTCCCATTTCGTAAAAAGTCAAATTTTAGGCATTTTCCCTTAGAATTACACAGCATTTTTGTAAATATCCGCCAAAGGAAGTTTTTAAAGATACATTAGTTTTAGATACATGACGGAAAAGGACTGGATTATCCGCAAATCTATAATAAATTATATTTTCAATCTTAAGCTAAGGGAAGTAATTTGATCAAAAGGGATAAAGTCACGTGGTGCAAATGATTTAAATAAAGTACCTTTGATTTTGCCATATGCGGAGCTTTTATATGAAGAAGATATAAACTAGACTAGTAATAATCTAATTTTGACAGCTTGAGTTAATATACATGCATAAATAAATAAGTATAATATACCCAAAAATATATTTATATAATACAATACAACTTGAAAGATACACATACAAATAAACTAAATCAGTGAAGCGGGCCCAAACCGCTAACTTTACATTAGTTTTTAGTTTTTTTTATTCAACAACAAATTACACTTCTGCTGTTAACAATGTTTTTCACTAGTAGTCCACCATTCCAGTGAAGAGTCCCTGTTTGTTAATACCAGAAATCCACGGTTGTTTTCTGGTAAGCATCATTATATTAAATTTACATTAGTTTTAATTATAGCTAAATTATAACATTATCAGCAATGAAATAAACTAGTATATATCACTGATGAGACTTTTTCATTTAACAATTTATTATATATATCATCTAGCAATTATTTTTGAGTATTGTTTCCGGAAATTTTTTATATTTCTTCCGTGAACGTGTTAATTTTTTTTCTATCAAATATCTTCCTGGTTTTGAAACAGAAATAGTCACACCTGGATTGAAAAAAATGCTATAGCCTATTCACAGGTATGTCTGAATCAAAAAAAAATTGAGGTTTAAAGAAAATTAAGATCCTATAAATATTTCATTTTATAATCTTCTCTTTTTTAATGATAAAGAGCCCCGTTATCAAATTCATAGATAATTATAGATCTGTGTTATATTCACATGTAGCGGTGAAAGGTAAGATTCATATCACTTAGTCAGTTCCAGATGTGTAATTTGTAAAATTTATCTCTTTTATTAATTTATTTTGTATTCTTACAATTTGCCTGTAGTTGATACATGAATTCTGCTTTAGATACAGCGTATATACATTTATAGATTCCGTTTTCTGTTCAGACATGTAATTAGCTTTGTATATATATATATATATATATATATATATATACAAACCATCATTATTGTAATCAAATAATTAATTTCATAATATTGTTCATCATTTATTTTACAACCCAATACTAAATAGCTATGAATTGCTAGATGTTAGTCTAATAATGATTAACATAGATAAATACATATAATATATCAAAATTGGGAGGATTAAAAGATTAATATATGGAGATTTATGGCAAGCCGTTGTGGAATTTATTCCCTATTTATTAATATCAAAAAATCAATAACTAATATTAGAAAATGATTTTTTATTATTACAAAATCATTTTTTAATATAAATAAATCGAATTTTTAATATTAAAAAATCCTGTCATTTTTTAATATTAATAAATGCTTTTTTAAATATTAAATAATATGCTGATTTTCTAATATTAAAAAATCATTTTTTAATATTAAAAAATCAACATCAATGTTACCTTAGCGTTTAATATAAGGCAAACCAATCAATATCTTCCAAACGCTCTAATGATGATTATTGGACAAGTCGGTCCGGAGAAATTTTATCCAACTGGAAAGTTATAGAAGTAATAGCTTTTCTAAAAAGCTTGCCGTTTTATAGCTTATTATGTTGAAAATAGTTTTTTTATTTGTAGTTTCATCCATTCAGAATATTCTTCTGCATATAAATTGTTTTGGGACATTGGACAGGCCTTTATAGTATTTTAAGGGTTACAATTTTCTTTTTGTGCGTGGCGATTTTTACCCCCTGGAAAGAGCTTAATTTCTAAATCACATGCTTTTTGCCTGTACTAATTTCGGTAAACTTTTTTTATGAATAAATTTTTCAGCAGACATGTCATTTATATACTCTCTGTTTGTGTTTGAGAAAAGTTTGATCAATATATTTCATCAATTGCCCCGATAAACCAACTCTCAAACGTTTTAGATCCCACTGAATATTTATTATACCGGAACTAATTGTCCCTATATCCTACTTGAGTCGGTTCCAGTAGTGTATAAGGCATGTTATGAAGTAAATTGAATACCTGTATGACTCTCTGGTCGTTACTTTGTTATATAAATATATAGGTCTTCTTTTTTTTTCTCTTTTTTTTGCTTTGTATCAATCTGATGAGTCAACTATTTTTCAACTGTTTTTTACAATTAGTTCTTACATAATAGAAAAGAAAGGATATGGGGTATCCATCCATGACACAAAATCAGTTCATGCACAGCAAAAACACAAAAAGTAAAGGAACAGGGCTTTTATTGATTTATGTTGCGCTTTAACAACTCTGCGCCAGGTAGGGGTGGGTTGGGCGCCTGCAAATATGGTTAATCCCGATAAGTTCGATGTGTGGTTGTACCAAAATCATGAGCCTGGATTTCATTGGTTGTCGTTTGTTGTTGTTTATTATGTCACCCGATCGACAATGTCGGGTGACATATTGCTTTTCCTCTGTTTCTTTGTTATGTCACCCTGACGGAGGTCGGGTGACATATTGTTATTGTACGATTCTTTTTTTTATTATGTCACCCGATCGACAATGTCGGGTGACATATTGCTTTTCCTCTGTTTCTTTTTCCGTATTATTATTATTATTATTATTATTATTATTATTTTTCTTCCACCTAATTTTGTCCGCCCGCTTTCTCAGAGCCAAAGGAACCAATCTGAATGATGGTTCACTATAACAAGGAACCCTGGCTTTCGAGTTGCAGTGCAACTTTGGAACTAAAAAATGGCTGCCATCACCATGGAAACTGAAAAATGGTGAAAAAATATAATTTTGGAGTTCGGTGAATTATTTGAGAATGCTTAAACTTAAAATCATTAGATTTTAATACAATGTAGGTGCCCACTATATACTGGTTTTGGATGATTTTGGCAATCATTGGAACTACTATGTTGCCATGGAAACTACACCAAAAATTTCAAAAATATCAAAATGCTCCAAATTTAATGAAACTTCACAGTAACGATGAGCAACATTGGTAGATGTGGAATTTGGCGTTGGAATTTCGAAAATGTCTGCCGTTACCATGGAAACAATGCAAAACAGGTCAAAATGATCCAAAAACCTAAAAGTGGCATTTACTTTCTTAAAATGGTATGTCAAATCCATTGAAATTTTAATGGTATGTTCCCTCCCATGTACCAATGTAGCACCTGTCATTACATTTCGGGAATGGTCTCTGTTACCATGGAAACCAGCAAAAATGTCAAAAATTTCCAAAAATTACAAAATGCTCCAAACTTAATGAAACTTAATATGATTCTTAATTGGCAAGTCTAGATGAGACTTTTGACTTTGGAATTTCCGAAATGGCCACCGTTGCCATGGAAACTGCAAAAATGTCAAAAAATTTTAAATGATCAAACATGCTCCTAATGTTCTGAAAATTTACAGAAACATGTATAGCCATGCATATATAAGAATACCGGTTTAAAATTTTTGAAATGGCTGCCACTTAGTGGCAATTGGGGGAAGGGTGACATCCGCTATTGCTTGCAATGGCAAATCTAGTTTTTATTATTATTCCACACATTTTGTCCATACTATTTCTCGGAATCGTATGGACCAATTGTAATGGAACTATACAATAATTTTAACCACCATTGCCAGAAATGCAGTGAGAATTGGCACTTCCAAGATGGCCACTTTACCATGGTAACAGTAAAAGAGTGAAAAAATGAGATTTTAGTTTTTAGTGGATAATTTGAGTATGCCTGAACATTGGATCATCAAATTTTTGCACATTGTAGCTGTCCTCTATATACATGTTTTGAATGATTTTTGGAATCCTCAGATCTACAATGTTGCCATGGAAACTGATCAAAAATATCAAAATTTTTAAAATTCTTTTAAAATGTATGAAACTTTACGGAACGGTTGACTGGCAAATCTAGATGTGGCGTTTCACTTTGGAATTTCCAAAATGGCTGCCGTTACCATGGAAACAAGGCAAAAATATCAAAATGCTCAAAACTTCATAAAACTTTACAAAAATGTTAAACACCATACATTTATGTAGCTTTTGACTTTTGAATTTTCAAAATGGCCGTCGTTGCCATGGAAACAGCACAATTGTTGAAAATTGAAAAACGTACATAACGCTATGAAAACCGACAGAAAGATCTGTTGTAATGTATATATCTGCATTCACTGATGTAAAATTTCGAAATGGCTGCCGTTAAGTGGCAATTGGGGAACCAGGGTGACATCCGCTATTGCTTGCAATGGCAATTCTAGTTATGGCACCCTCAACGGAGTTGGGGTGACATACTGTTATTCAACGTTTCTTTTTTTTTCTTATTTTTCTTCCACACATTTTGTCCGCGCGATTTCTTGGAATCCAATGGACCAATGTTGATGGAACTCTACTATAATGAGGACCCCCATGTAAAGTTGTGTTACCCAGTATGCTAAGATGTCAAGACAATATTTGGATAGTCCAAAATGACCGCCGTTGTCATGGAAACATGGGGCAAGTTTTACATCGACCCTATGTTAAAATGCATAAAATCAGCATTTTCTTAAAGAGTATTTCACCAAAGTCAGTGAAACTGTATTGATATACAACATGACATGTGGCAATGAGATGTCTACTTTTAGAATTTTGGAATTATCCACTGTAACCATGGAAACAGCAAAAATGTCCAAAATTTCAAAAAAAATTCAAAATGCTGCAAACTGGATGAAACTTTACAAAAATGGTAACTGGCAAAGGCAGAGTTGCATTTTGCAGTTGGAATTTTCAAAATGGCCGCCGTAACCACGGAAACAGCAAAAATGTCCAAACTTTCAAAATGCTCCAAACTTAATGAAACTTTACAAAAATGATAATTGCATGTGTAGACGCCCTCTTTGACTTTGGAATTTTTTAAATGGCTGCCGCTCGCCTGGCAATGGGGGAAGGGTGCCATCCGCTATTGCTTGCAATAGCAAATCTAGTTAAGTCGCCAAAACGGAGTCTTTTGTCCCGTTTCTTATTATTATAATTATTATTATTATTATTATCATTATTATTATTAACCCTAATTTGTCCGACCATTTTCTTCCAAGCCTTAAATGATGGAAACTTTATATTTGGTATGATGATGGGGTAGTATCCCTAGGGGTGCATTCACTATTTTTTATTTCAAATGGGGGTTAACTTGGCATTATTTGGGGGCCGGAACATGGGTGGGGTCATTTTTCGACTATTGATTCGCTACTGGTAGAACCTTTAAGTTTTGTGTAATACAAGAGACCGATGTCCAGGTGTCCATTCCACATTTTTTATTTCAGCCCGGGGTCATCTTGGCATTATTTTAGGGGGTCAATTTTCATGGAACATTCTAGAACAATAGTCATGTGATTAGTCATGTGATAGTGTTGAATTATTCCTATGTACTTTTTATGTTATATAATGATAGATTATTACAAGTAGCACCATATGTAGCTGTAATTCGACTTTGGAATTTTTAAAATGGCCGCCGTTACCATGGAAACTGCAAAAATGTGATTTTTTTTTAAAATGCTTCAAATTTAATGAAATTTTACAGAGATGTTAACGAGTGTATGAAGATTTGGAATTTGACTTTGGAATTTCCAAAATGGCCGCCGTTGCCATGGAAACAACAAAAATGCGAAAAATCTAGATTTGGTCCAATCTTTATGAAACTTGACAGTAATGTGACCTGTCAT